CCCTCTGGGGGAAGAACCTTGTCCTGAGATCCAACCTAAATGTTCCCTCAGGTCCTGCCCCTGGTCACCAGAGAGAAGAGGTCAGTGCTGCTCCTCCACTGCTCCTCACGAGGATGTTTTTTATTTAAGATTACATTGGCTCCTGAGTACAATTTGCTTCATTTTCACACCTCACATTATGAGGCCCTTAAAACAAAACAAAAAAAACCCAACAAACAAACCAAAAAACACCAACCCAAACAACTCAGCAGTTTCCAGTTGTTGTTTGTTGTTAAATATGACATATAAAATGTTAGGTCAAGCGTCTTCAACACACCAGGCTACAGTGTTTGTTTAAAGTTATGAGTAAAGCAAGTCATATGAATGTTTCCAAAGACTGTATTCCAAGAAGTATTTTTGGAAACATTAATGTTGTGTTTTTTAATGAAGGCCACATTCTGAGGCTACGACACCATATGTCACATTCATTTCTGGGCTGGAAAAAAAAAAAAAAGAAAAAAAAGAGAGAGAGAAAAAGAAAAGAAAAAAGAAATGGAAACTATGTTTGGCTTTTAAGTGTTTTTGGACTGGTGTCTCTGCATGCTTGTCATTGTTCCTTGGATGAGAGGAGAGTTCTTGGTCTGCTAATCTAGTCCATCCAATATATATTACACTCCATGGGCCTGACTCTCCTCTGCCTAGAAGTGTGTGCAGTCATTTATACTCAGCAAAGTGAATGAAGACCTGAGGGGAAAAAAACTGCCACTAGGAAAGTTGGTTTTCCTTAAATTCATTTTCCATGAACGTTTTAGCTTCATTGGAAACCTGTGTCTGAAGCTTGACTTTTCAGGCTTAGAAACCAGCTTGAAAATGGGAAAGGTACTTGTCATTTTTCCATTGAAAACTTGCAACTTTCGGAAGAATAATGACAGAGGTTCCACAAAAATATTATTTTTTTTTCTTCAGAAATATCTGTGAGAAGCATGAAACTTGTAAAAAAAATTTGAATTGTTCTGCTGTGTCCCCATCACTTCTGACTGGTCAGTGTTTAGGTTGGGATGTGGTGGAATGAGCTGGAGATCTGCAGGAAAAGGGTTTGCCTTTCTCAGTGCTGTATCCTATGGATAATTCACAAGTGTCCTGTAAATGATTTTTTTCAGCTAAATCTTTCCTTTTTTTACTGGATTCCAGGTGATGAGGTCTCAATTTCTAACATAACTTTTTGTTATTAGCCACTAAACATATGGCCCAGAACTGCTCGAGTTCATGTGGTTGCAATCTGCAACATCCATTTCTTCTCTGCTCTGACAGAGGAATCTCCTAATTCCCATCACTTCCGAAATTTATGTCACCCCCAACTTTTATTAACACACTGCATGTTTGCTTAGAACACATTAATCAAAATTTAAATATTTTTGGCAGCTGGATGTTTTTTTGTTTGCCTTAGGGAACGATTGGAGAGGGTTTCCAGGACCCCAGAGAGGTTTCTTTTTTCATTTGAAATGTAAATGATTTTTTACAAATTGAACAAATATGTCTCTGTAGCACCAGCCCAATAAAGTTCACATTCATGACCAGGTTTTTCTGGGCAATACTGAAATAAAAATAATGACGAGTGATTGTGTGTTTGATTCATTTTCTGGTTGAAAACCATTAGCACTGAACTCGCCTGCCCATGTTACTGAAGTCTTACATCTAAATGAGAGGTTTCTCCCAGGCACTTCTGCCAGTGGAGGAAAACAAGCAAAATTACAACAGGCAATTAACTACCTCAAATATTTGGCCAACTTTAAGAGGGTTTGTGGTTCCTGTGATTTTTCAGGAGAGCCCATCCTGATTTGAAGGTTACTTCATGGGATCATTAGAAGAAATGCTCATAGTGGGGTCACTAGAAAGGTTTTTGATTTCAAAATCAATTAGGATTGATAAGGACATTTCTAACTACTTGAGTTTCTTGCTGCCTCGTATTTCCAGGCCTGTTTTTGAGAGCTGTTGTGTAATGAATGTCAGAGTCTGTACTCTTAAAAGAATTGCTCGTGATGGCTGTGGAGTGAATGTGCTTGGATTTGGTGTTATGCAGTTCTGCCCCAGGAAATTGAGGCAAAAATGAACTTTCTCTTTTGTTTCATAGGTTTCCAATGAACAAAGAAAACAAATAACCCCAAGTGTGTCCTGTCAACTGATGCCACGAGGCAGAAATGAGGAAGATGACAGACCAGAGTGGTTCCTACAGGCCCGTGAGCATCCAGGGAAATAAGGTCAGTTATCGAGGCACTTGTCAAGAAAGGCCTGAAAAGGGGGTGAAAAGGCTGCAGAAGCGGTTCCTCCACAAGGATGGCAGCTGCAATGTCTACTTCAAGCACATCTTCGGGGAGTGGGAGAGCTACGTGGCGGACATCTTCACCACGCTGGTGGACATCAAGTGGCGCCACATGTTCGTGATATTCTCCCTGTCCTACGTGCTCTCGTGGCTGTTCTTTGGGCTGGTGTTCTGGCTCATAGCCATCCAGCACGGGGACTTGTTCAGCGACGAGGGGACGACCCCCTGTGTCGCGAGCGTGCACAGCTTCACGGGGGCATTCCTGTTCTCCCTGGAGACGCAGACCACCATCGGGTACGGGTCCCGCTGCGTCACCGAGGAGTGCTCGGCCGCCATCCTCGTGGTGATCCTGCAGTCGGTGCTGAGCTGCATCATCAACACCTTCATCATCGGGGCGGCCCTGGCCAAGATGGCCACGGCTCGGAAGAGGGCTCAGACCATCCGTTTCAGCTACTACGCCGTGGTCGGCCTGAGGGACGACAAGTTTTGCCTCATGTGGCGCATCGGCGACTTCCGGCCCAACCACATGGTGGAGGGGTCCGTGAGGGCTCAGCTGCTGCGCTACAAGGAGGACAAGGAGGGCAGGATGACCATGGAGTACAGGGACTTGAAGCTGCTGAATGACCAGATCATCCTTGTCACCCCGGTGACGGTTGTCCACGAAATCAACAGTGAGAGCCCCTTGTACGGCCTGGACAGGAAGGCCCTGGCCAAGGACAACTTTGAGATCCTGGTCACGTTCGTCTACACGGGCGACTCCACGGGAACCTCGCACCAGTCCCGGAGCTCGTACATGCCCGGAGAGATCCTCTGGGGCCACAGGTTTAACGATGTCCTGCACGTGAAGAAGAAATACTACAAGGTGGATTGCTTGCAGTTTGAGGAGACCACCGAGGTTTATGCCCCTCACTGCAGTGCCATGCAGCTGGATCGGAAGGAGCAGGAGTGGAACCGAGCCGAGAAGACACGGGAGAAAGAAGCAGAGTCATCAGCACTGGAGATCAAGACATTTAGCACCACCCAAAAGTCATTCAGTGCTGTTGCCCTGGTCACCAGCTGTGAAGACCCAGAAGACCCAGTGACAAGTGTCACACCTGCAGAGGTTTCTTACCGGAAAGCAGCCGTGACCTTGAGCAGGCTCTCCATAGAGTCCCAAATCTAGCTCTGACTGCAATTAAAGGCACTCCCAACAGATCCTCCCACGGTAGCTCTCAGAATGCAAACAATGAACTCACGTGCACAAGTATTAATGTCACAAACCTCACTGACAGCGTGCCCACAGTGCTGAGCTGCAAGGAGGAGCTTCTCACTGGTCTGGGGGGGTATCAGTGACAGAACAGCTCCCAGTTGGGTTTTTAGGGAGCTGCTGCACTTGAGCAAACTCACTGTAAACTTCACTACCCTGTGGGGTTGGACTTACCCAGAGACAGATAATGATCTTGGCAGGGAGCAAAAACAATGCACTGTGCCCTCGAGGTCAGATTTTTCAAAGCTGCCTAATTTGTTTGGAAAGCCAGTTCCCAGTCTCTCTAGGAGGCTCTGAAACTCCACCATCCCAACAAACCATTTCTCTCCAGCAGTTCAGACAAAACCCACATCCCAGGGTTCTGCTGGGGAATCTGTGGGGCTGTTCTTCACAGGAGGGAGTGAACTGGGAAGAATAACTGACCCCAGTGTTACTGGGTGGCTTTGGAAACCTGCTTGTGCCCTGCCTAGTCCTGTGGGATCTGCAGTGGGATCCTGGAGAGCTTTTCCATGAGCCGTTCCCAGAAGTGCTGATCTCTCAGCATCTTGAGGGTCGTGGGATATCAGCTGGCTCGGGGCTGTGGGGAGGCTCTGGGGAGGCTCTGGGACGTGGCTCTGGGGGCTCAGAGGGTTGGCCAAGCTGCCTCATGTGCACTGATCAGAAATCAAAAGAAAACCTCCAGCCTGAAACCAGCAAAATCACGTTGAGCCTCAAGGAGAGGATCGTGTGTTTAGAGTGAACTGTGCAATATTTGATATCAAAGCGTCTTTCATTTCATTTCGCTTTTCTTTTTAGTATATTGTGCTTCTTGGAAAAGGCAAAAATCAATCTGGAGAGCAAACAGGGTGATTTTGTCAAAATGAGATATGTTTATCTCCAATTGCTGTGTAAAAATGATCCTTCACAGAGAAATTCAACACACTCATCTGTCAGCTCAATTTGGAAAAAAAGGAGAGTTGATGCTCTGAAGTTGGCTGTGACATGGAAGTTCCATGCTCTGTAATTGTTTAATAAGCAATATCTCATGGTGCTTTCTCCACCTGATGATTACAGTTAATTTGTATTATGTTTAATTTTCATACTAATGTAAAATAATTATTTTACCACCACTGAGTTGGTGGGGTTTGTCTCACCTGACCTCAGCTGCAAAGAAATCCAGTGTTTGCCTGCTGGTCGAGGCTCCCTGTGGTTACTGGAACTCCTCTGTCCTCACAGGGGAGCTCATCCCACCTTACTCTGGCTTTTTAGGGAGCTGCAGACATTCCCACTTATCCTGGAAAAGTTCATCCCTCTCCATTTGTTGCTGAAGGAGATGAGACAACTGTTGTGGAAATGCTGGCTAAGTTTAGGCTGCTAAAATTAGGTCTGACAAGTCATTCACATCATTCTGACTAATTAATTGGTTTTTTATGAGCTCTTCACATTTAATGAAGAAAAAATAGAATACTGAGTCTTTTTTCCTGAAATTTACTCCATGTAGTAACATTGCTTTATTATTTTAATGTATCTCGAATTTCTCTTTTGCTGGCACACCATCCCTTCAGGTAAAACTGAAACCTGGAGGGATTTGGTAATTCCAGAGATCATTAATTAGCCTATTTCATGTGCTGATTCACCAGCAGCATCCGTCTACAACAGCAGTAGAAAACATCTTCTTCAATCCTGGATTTGAGCACTGGCAGACATTGGGGAAATAGTCTAAAAAAAAAATGGGAAGGAATGTAGGAAAATGTATGAGGGTCTCAGTACTTATGTGGTGTTGGAAAAAAAAAACAACCCCATCCGGATTGTATAAAATAGAATATAACCTACAAGACATGGGAAATAATCCTTCCACACTCCTCTGGTCTTGGCTGGGTTGCTTTGTTCCATGTTGGGCACCACATTTTGGGAAAGACATGGAGTAATTTGAAGAGAATCTGGAGATGTAGAAAACAGGTTGTTAAGGAAGCAGGGAAATGACTTAAAGTGTTTCAGTCCTAGAGGGAGTCGGGAAGCACACAGTTCTCAAACACAAAATTGCAGTTTGAGAGAGGGACAATCTGGTGCATGGAGGGTAGGGCAGGAAAACATGGGATTAAACTGGAGGCAAAAGGATTGAAGTTAATTAGGAAACGGTGTCACAGAGGAGGTGAAGCAGTGACGGAGCTCCGGGGTGTGTGACCTCTGTGGTGGCTCTCGGGAGCCTGATGGAGAAAACACTGCCAGGACTGAGGTAGGAAGCATCCAGGTGCATCCAGAGCTGATCAGTGAGTTGGGAGCTGTGGTGAAACACCAGGATCCTCCCCCTCTTCCAGAGGGTGCTCCTCGGAGCTTCCAAAAGCCAATACCTTGGGTTGAAGTTCAGCAGCTTCTTCCCAGCCACCCAGAGGCAGGAACTGGCAGTTCTGGCTGGAAGTTGCTCTCCCTGTTCCCGTCTTTTCCACAAAATTCACCAGATGAAGCAAAATCTTAACAACAAAGAGCAAACACAAACCACTTTGCATTGGACTCCTGACTCATGATTATAAACTGCATTGGGTTATTTTCCCTTGGAAAGGAGCACTATTGTTCCGGGTCAAGATTAATTTATGTCAAAGGGAATATAATAGGAGATTATTATATAATTTATTTTTCCAGCCTTGCTTACCACCATTCATTAAGGCCTCTGGCATCTCCTTCCCCATTATCATGTATCATTTAGTGCATATTTTTTGTGAAGTTGGTTTTCAGATGTGGGACATAATATTTATCCCCTTGTTTATCCCTTGTTTCTTACACACTGTGCAGGAGGTCTGAACTCACTTCAGGAAATGAGGGGTACTTTTCAGGGCACGAGAAGTGTTTGCGTAGGAAATAAAAATTGCTTGTAAGCTTTTTTTTTTAGCTCTTAAATCTTTGTTGGTTTGAGCTGGGAACCTGCAAACAAAAAGAGTTGGTGTCTGTGGTGGGGAGAGGAGGCCCAAAGTAGGGAAGGAAGAAGCATCTGACAACGGAGTCACTTCCAGGCAGACAAGAGGAAGTGGGACAGAAATGGAACCAGAACGAAACAAGGAGAAGTTGAAGTTTTTATCCGGGCTGAAAAACGTGGATCCATGTTTCCATGGGGCTTAAAGTCACAACACAGGGGCTGCTTCCAAAATTTACAGCTTTTTATGGGGTGAGTCCCGGTGGCTCAGGAAATGCTGGGGGGAGTTGGATGAACATCAGGCAAAACAAGTATGAAGTTGAGTAGCTCTGTTTTGGGCTCATGTTGCTCCCTAGAAAGCCAGGAGGTCTTGAAATTGTGATAGTCACACTTAGGCAATATTTTCTTCATTCAAAACAAGACAAAGTTACCTTGAACTGTCACAGATACACAAGAATTTCCCACCCAGATGTGGGATAGAATCATGGAATGATTTGGGTTGGAAGGGACCTTAAAGATCACCCAGTTCCACCCCCTGCCATGGGCAGGGACACCTTCCACTAGCCCAGGTTGCTCCAAGCCCCGTCCATCCTGGCCTTGGACACTTCCAGGGCTGGGGCAGCCACAGCTTCTCTGGGCGACCTGTGCCAGGGCCTCCCCACCCTCCCAGGGAAGAATCCCTTCCAAATATCTAATCTAAAAGTCCCTGTTTTAATTTAAAACCATTCCCCTTTCTCCTATCACTGTGTAAAAAGTCACTCTCCCTCTTTTTCATCATCCCCCTTCAGGCTCTGGAAGGGGCTCTGAGGTCTCCTGGGAGCTCCCCAGCACAGCCTGTCCCAGTGGAGCGCTCTGTGCCCAGCACTGATCCAGCCCGGGACGTTCATCTCCGTGTCCTCCATCCAGGACGGTCCCGATCCCGGTCCCGATCCCGATCCCGATCCCGGTCCCGATCCCGATCCCGATCCCGATCCCGATCCCGGTCCCAGTCCCGATCCCGATCCCGATCCCGATCCCGATCCCGGTCCCGATCCCGATCCCGATCCCGATCCCGATCCCGATCCCGGTCCCGATCCCGGTCCCGATCCCGATCCCGATCCCGATCCCGATCCCTCTCCGGCAGCGCCGCGCGGGCCCTCGGCCGCCACCTCGCGGCGCTGGGGGGAACTGCGGCGGGCGCGGAGCTCTCCCGGAGCATCCGCGGGGACACATCGGCGACATCGGCCCCAAAGAACCCCCGCCCTCAGCCCCCCGCCGCCCTTCCTCTGCTCCAACACTCCCTCAGGGTCAGCTCTGCAGCGCTGCTCAGCCATCACCCCCGAAGTGGCACAACGTGCTGTCCCATCAATGGACCCCCCGGCCATTCAGAAAAGCACTCCCCAAAAAGCAGTGTTATAACCAGAGAACCTGTTTTCAGTGAATTCCCAGCACTGCCTGACCACCCTCAGCAAACCTGCACCCTCTGGTTTCAGATTCTGCAGCTGTCCTCTCAGGTTCAATACAGTAGATGAACCCAGAAAAGGCATTATTTTGTTATAAAATTGATTGGATATGTCCCCCATCCAGCTGATTTATTCTATATCGTTCCTCTTTATATATAGAAGCAAAAGCTGAGAGGTGGCTCTACTTGCCAGCTTAGGTATATATAGCCAGGCCAACCTGGCTCCACTCCACCAGGAACCTTTCAAATAGGGCAATGAGCTATTTGTGGCCAAAGGGACTGACCTGGGGAGGTATCAGTGACAAGAGGCAAAGAGCTGCTTGTTTGTGTGGCCCAGGGAACATGTGTGAGTGTAGCAAGGCAATGCTGACGTTTATTATGTAAAACTACACACACAGAAGGGCTCCAAAATAGAAATGCCTTAATAATTATCTCATCTCCAGTGCCATGTCCACTTCTGGATGCACATTTTCCATCGAGCTGCTTCCTGCGTTCTCTCACGCACGGGAGTAGCTCCAATGAAACATCTGCTGCACCATCCATATCATCCTCCTCCTCCACAGCCCTTCTCCAGACAGCGGCTGGAGGAAGCTCCACAACTGTCAGGCAGCTGCTCTGCTCTGACTACTGGGCATTGCATTTGTTCCTCGTGTTTCCCCATCTTTGATCACGAGCCTCTCAGACTTGCCTGACAGGGGAGGGGCTATTTTTGGCCTGATGTTCATGCAGCTCGATCCCTGCTTGGCCCAGGTGCCAAAATGAGCTGCTGGTCTTCATGTGACCGTGGTGCAAACCCACAGTAAGGAGGAGACTGTCCCAAAGCCTCGCCAGTGCCACTGCCCTGCACTGAAATGTCTGTACTGGGTGTCTCCAGCAGGAATTTTGACTGATAATACCTCATTGTAACAGCCATGCCCCGAGTGGGGTGTGAAAAACAGGAATTACGCATCAATGGGTAAGTTTCTTTTCAGATCTCCAACTGGAAATCAAAAAGAGCCTGGTGGGTGCACACAAGGGAAAACCTTCCTTGCCCACACAGGCCAAGGGCCTTACTCATGGGGACCCCACCAATTTCAATGGGGTGGTGTCCAGAGTGACCCGTGGTAGGATGTGAAGTGGGAAACCAAATTTGGTAAGTGTTTATTGCAGTTCCTGGAATTACTCACTGTATATGCTGATTAAACCCCCCTCTCTTCAGTGATCACTTTTTCCACTCTGCTACAGGGTCTTTTTTCTCTTCCCTCCCATTTTATCCTTGCTTTTGGAGAAGTACCAAGTAAAGCAGTCGAATATAGTCCTTTACAGTCACACACACCTTTACACGCCACGAGCCATTTCCCAACTCCCTCCAGCAAACCTAGGGCTGATAGCACAGGAGACCCAGAACCACAGAATTCCTCTGATACAGACCAAAGATGTGGGAGGATGGATCTGAGAACCTTACACTCCAGTCCTGGGGATCTGGGCTGGGAAGCTCCAGCGGGGAAAATCACGGCAGAGTGGAAGCGTCGCATGTGAATCAACGTCTGCACATGTGGATGTGGGACTGAAATAGCTCCCATCCCTCTCCTTATGTTAATAAAAGGGGATGGTTCCTGCCAATTCCAGCTCGAGTTTCATCCCCCTGAAATATGTGCACTTTCCCCAGCTGTATATTTGGCCTGGGGTAATTAGCACAGTGCTAATTTTACCTGAGCCGATGAAAGCGCTGGAACAGCCTCGCCATATAAAGGGAGGATCCACAAGCTGATTCAGCCTTCTGGGGCCCTTTTTGGGCAAAGAAAGTCATGACTTTGACTTGTAGATTTGCTTCTCAGGGAGGCTTCTTCTTCCCAGAGTTATCTGACACACAGCTGAGGGTAGGGAAGAGCAAGGTCAAGGATACTCATGTGCTGGAAACTAAAAGCACTGAGCACTGAAGTGTTGCCTCGTAGTAAATTACCTTATGTACATTAAATTACCCAACTAGATCTGCTTCTTCTCTTTGCTCTCCTGTGAGAGAAGCCACTTCCAGACACCAAAAGCACAAAGATGCTTGGAAGTCTTTTATTTCTTTCTGGGCCTTCCAAAAAGATTCAAAGTCAATTGACATTTCAGATGAAGATTCAGAACAGACACTTATTCTCTCCAAGCCAGTTCAGCTTGAAAAAATTACAGTGAAGTATGGTCAGAGGAAAAGCAATTTGCCAGGGCTTGAAGAGTGTGAATAATGCAAAGCAAACAGCTCTCTGCAGTGTTCACTTGTGTTTTCAAGTGTGCTCTCCTGCACTGTGCACCCATCCTGCCTTCTCCAGAGGTCCTGGGCACCAGCATCACAGGTGGGGATTAAGGAAAGCTGAGATGGTTGGTGATTTCTGACTTCTGTAAACTTGGAGGGTTGATTTATGGTGTGGGGGTTTTGTTGTTTGTTTGTTTTTTTTAACAGAAGAGCCAGAACTGATTGGCACTGCTGGCACTTGATCCCAAGCTCTGGAGTCACCCCATCAGGAAAGAGGAACAAAGCCAGCCCGTTGTGCTCTGCTCTGGGCTGTTCTGCAGAGGGGTTTTTGTGCCACCTTTGCTGTCAGAGAGCACAAGCACCTTCCAGTACTGTCACAGTGACACGACAAGCCCCTGCTCATTCTCTGCCTCCCTTTGTCTGTCCTGCTGGCTCTCTGCCCCTTTACCCTTTGCCACCGATTGTCTCTCCATGTGATCTCTGCCCTTTGTCAAATCAAGACAGTCCCAGCCTGGGTGCTGGGTGTCCCCTCTCCTGTCACCCATGGCCCCAGGAGGTGTTTGGCTCCCAGGTTAAGAGTGTGCTCAGATTAAAAGGAAACACATATCAAAGTGCAGCTCTGAATGAAGGTTTTCTGCTCTGAGGCCTCTGAGGAGGAATGTGGGGCCTTCTTGGAGTCAGCCTGCCTTCTTTGTGAGTCAGGGACCCACAGAGTGTTTCTGCCCATCTGCTGGATGTGCTGCCTCGTGCCAGCCCAGTCTGCAGGCAGGGGAGGGACCCAGGCACCCTGTTCCCATGTGGGGACCCCTGGGCAACCTCTTACACCCAGGGACATCCTCCTCCAGCGATGCCACCACAGCACCACGATGTCACCAGGTCTCACAGCCACCGAGGGAGCAGCAACTTTGACATTTAGGGACTTTCCATGTTGATTATTTAATACTTGATGACAAACAGCACAATCTTTTCCCCTCCAGGCCCTGTCACAAGGTTGCTTAATAGGGTTTGGGCATTAGCTCAAATAATATCAGGGGATCAAAGCCAACTTCTGAAGTATTAGGGAGATTACAGGGAAACTCGTGGCTCACGCTGAGGTGCAACATTTCCTAGCACAAAACAGGGGAGACCCTCCTTCTGAGCCATCCCTTCCCTTTTGGCATCTGGATGAGGCTGTACCAGAGCACAGGACGTACAGTTTGGCCCAAATTTCCATGCAGGATGCCCAAGGGTGGGTGAGGAATCCTTCCCCTGCGTGTACATGAAAGGCAGAATTTAGCCTGGAGGTACAAAATGGCAT